TTCAAACTTAAATAAGTGAAAAATCTAGGATAATTGTAATCAATAATCCAGGATATTGAGATGGAGTTTTACTATTAAGTTTGAAATCTATATCATATCATGGATTTCAAAAAATGGCTATTTTTGAATTTTATGTAGATGCTAATCATCCAATATCTGTCAATTGAGCTAATCTGTAAATGTTGTTTGCTTCGTATTTTTACTTTAGAATTATATAGCTAGTTAATCCTATCTTGTAATTCTCTTTTCTATTTTTCTACCCTTACAATCGATGTAATATATTTTTAAAAAAATAAATTAAACCTATTATGAGATCATCAAACTATTAGCTCCTAATACGCGATTAAATGATTTCTTTAAACTTGTATTTAGACATTTATTATCTCTCATAATACGTACTTTAAATAAAAAATAAACAATATTTTGGACTTTTGAGTCACGGGTTTAAGAATTATTGCAAGAAATAGTACTTTTTTATAACTTTATTTTTGAATATTTAATGTAAACCACATGAATTCACTATTTGTTGGTTTTCATGCATAATTAAGATACCTCAATAAGTGTCTAGAAGTTCATCAAAAGTGACATTATATCTTTTTTGTCCTTTTTATATATCTGATTGATAGGAATTTGGTGATTTACAATATGCGACAAATATTAATTATATATATAAAATGATCCTATTTAATTTGATTGAAAATGAAGTCTATAGTTATCCGATCCACGATTTAATTTTAGTAATGGGGTAAAATATTATTGGCCTTTTGTTTTTATATAATTTGAGCACCATTAGACGACTTAAAAAATAAAATAAAAATTACAACTTATTTCATGGGGAAGTGGACTTTGTGCTTAACCTATAATTTATTTATTTTTATTTTTCTAAAAAAAAGTTATTACTGTTTAGGAGAAAGGGAATGTATGAAAGTATTCTAAGTTAAAGAATTTTTCATCGTTTCAAAACTGTGAACCTATTGATAATTTTGAGTTTAAGCAGATACTGTATATACATTTAATAAAAAAATTCGACGAAACAGTATCACATGACACCTCGGCCTAAAATAAATCTGTCCCTATGTAAAAGATGACATCTAATTAGCTCTAAATTCTAGTTAGTTAAAATTTTATTGTTGTTTAGATTAAAAAAAATAAAATCTTGTTTAGATGTGAACTACCTAGGTATATATTAGGCTTAAATTTGGTCGAATTGTATAAATACTAAAAAAAATGTACCAACCAACTTTCATTTTGGGATTATTTCTTTTGACCATATGATAATACGATATATAAGGACTGCTACTGCAAAGAGCGGAGGCAGATCCAATGTATTGGACTATTGGTACCCATTCAAGATGAACTTAAATACTTTTGATATGATAAACATAAATTTATGTGTATATAAATATTTATTAAAATTACAATAAATATTAGATAATTAATTTATAATGGTAAAATTATAACAAGTTTAATACTAAAAATCGTAAATATTGAACCCTAGAAATAATTTGTGATATCATGACTTCATAATAGCGTGACATTCTGTCTTTATATGGAATATTAATTATTAGCCCTGTTTTTGGAGCTATTATTTTTTATGTTTAGTGTTAGGTAAATTGCACTAATTTTAGTGTATAATAAACATATGTATTAATTTAGTAGCATTATAGTCAGTACGTAATTAACTATAGATGGTAAGATATATACCTATACGCATCAAAAACACACTTTTTCCCTATCTTCTTTCTAATTATAATGAATGGACATTAAATTATGGGAATTAAGGAGTTTAACTTTATTCTTAATTAACTATAGAGGGTAAGATATGATGAAAAGCATATATAAAGTCTTGGCTAGCGAGGGATTATAGGCTTTTACTTTTTATTCTTTGCAATATTAGAAGCCAAAAAAAATCATTTCAATTTATGTGTGGTGTTTGGTTAAAGGCAAAGTTAGAAATTATAATCTTAAATATGGCATGATATTTGTGCAGCTAATATAAAAGCACACTAATAAAAGTAAAACAAATTTACTGAATATATCGAGAACTTTTAAAATTTATCAATTAACTAGTGAATTTGACCGCATTTATAAGAAAATCAATAAATTAAAAAAAATATTTTTATAACTTCATATAACGGAAATAAATTTTAATTTTGTTATATTGATTAAAACACAAAAATAATATTTTTATTAGTGTTAGATGAACCGCATTTAAAAATAAGTAAATTTGCATTTCAAATAAAAGAAAAATGACAAAAACTAAAACCATAAAAACACAAACACACAACATATTTTTTAACAAAGTGAAGTACATATGACATTATTATGCATATTTGATATAGGGTTTGAGACAATATATTCAAAAGAGCACAAATATTTTTCTTCAAAAAATTGATGAATGTACAATAATGTAGTTGTCTAAACAATGAAACTTACTCTTGGCATCTCTATTAAAAACTTGCATAATTATGCTTTCTAAACTCACTTAGCACACTTCTATGGTGACAATAGAGAGAATGATTGATCTTCTAATTTAGGAATAACTTCACCAAGTAAGAGGAGTCTTGTAATTGCCATACAAAATCTAATGTAACAAAATATTGTGAAAATTTATGATTACTATCGAGATAAATTCTCAACTCCTACTTGTACGTGAATCCCTAGTTTTCCCCCACAAATTTTCTCATCAAGCATCTCAATTTGTTCTTTGTCTCATGAATGACTTTGTATTCCACATTAGTTAGTCCACTTGCCAAACACATTCTATCAAAAAAATAAATAAATTCAACATACATAATTTCACAATACATTATGAGAATTAAGGTGATCAAGAAGTCAAATAAGAGATTTAACATACCAAAGAGAATTTAATTAGTGTCATCTGAGTGTCATATGTGAAAAGTGAAAAATTATAAATCAATTCACCTTTTATCTTAAAATAAATCGCATTCCACATTCTTCAAATCTTATTCCTTATCATCAAATCATGTCTATTATAATGACCAACTCCGGAAAAAAAAGAAAGAAAAATATGTTAGACTAACAATATAGTTAAAAACAAATATAGTAAGCAAGCTACTACATGAAGAAAAAAAAATACACTTCCAATCTATATATAGTACAAAAATATAGAATATGAAAAGATACAAAATTAATTAAAATATAATTACTCAAAGATTAATACATACTAATTAATATAATTGAAAATAAAGAAACTGTTGATGAAAAAACGGAAAGGAAGAAAACTTACAGCTAATCATTAGTTTCACAATTAAGAAAATTAAAATCTCTTAATTAGTGCTAATTTTTAGTCATTAGTTATTTTGGTATAAGAAAACTTACGCTAATCAAATTAATGTTCCTTTTTGGTTAGTTTTAGTTAGTGTCAATTTTAGCAGTAATTTAATTTAATTTAATTAAGCAAAATTCACGGTGCTTTTTAAGTTAATGCTATACTCAAATTAACATTAATTTTTTGGTTAATTTTAGTTATTGTCGTTTAATTAAATTAAGCAAAATTCACGTTCCTTTTTAAGTTAATGCTATACTCAAATTAACATTATTTTTTTGGTTAATTTTAGTTACTGTCGATTTAGCAGTAACTTAATCTAATTAAACTAAGCAAAATTAACATTTCCTTTTTAGTTATTGTACATTTATAGTCATTGTATCATTACTTTTGGAAGAAATAAATATTATGAAGGCTCATAATGAGGGAAGAGAATAATTTTTTAAACATATTTTTGAACAGAAAATAAAGGTAAAAATTGAAAATTCTGAAAATATAGAAAAATAGTAATACTGGCCATTGAAACATGCCACAACAACAAATTGATATTCGGGGCTTTATATATATATATATATATATATAATATATATATATATATATATATATATATATATATATATTTCATTTAGACATTCGAAATACAGTCTGTTTCGATTAAATATCAGAGTGCATGATAGAGTGTTTCTATTAAACCTCTTCGGCTCAAATTTAGGAAAAATTTCTATACATATTTTCAGTTGTCTATTACGTAAATAAGTTAATCACTAAAAACTTCAATTAAAACAAGTCTAAGCTTTTACTACTTATATGCATATGTGACATATTCAATTGCCCATTACATAAACAAATTACAACAACATACTCGGTATAATCCACAAATTGAGACCAAGGAAATAGAAGTAGGGATAAGATTTGTGTACATTCTACCCTTCCCAGATCGATCTCACTTTATAGAATTACACTACAAATATATTATTATTGTTATAATTTGTCTATGTAACAAGTAATTGAGAACATAGACAAAATCTTTTCAAAAATTTGAGCCAAAAACATTAACACAAACACTTTATCACGAGATTCAGATCTTGATACACAGGTCCAACATGTACAGAGGTTGATGTGCAAATCATTAAGCAAAATAATGCAAGTCCCATGTGAAAATGGAAGGATAAATGTTTATTCTAATTCAAGAAATAAATAATAAATGATCAACAAAATCCACAAAATTCCCAAGTTTAAAATTCATAATGGCCTTATCTCTTTTTTTTTTTTCCTTTTCTGTTCGGTGTTTGATATTTGTATTAAAATCTGATCAAATTCAAATTTGCACATCGAAAAATTCATTTCTTGAGGCGGTGCTTTTTTCTATCTCGAGACTCGCATTCAAGACCTTTAATTAATGTTGAAGAAATCTCAATTACCATTTTACCATGATCCATGTTAGTATAATAGTCTGATCTCAAGTAGTTGTGTCGCTAGAGACCTTTTTTTTTGTTTTTCTATTTGGTGTTCAATATTCAATATTCATATTGAAGTCTAACTAAATGAGTGCCTTGATATTCTCTTACAATTGTTATGCAATACCCCAACATGGGCCACTCAATTCTCCATTAAAATATTTCCAAAAAAATAGCCAAAAAAATTCATCATTTCCATCTATAAATACCCTCTCATTTCATCATTCCAAACACCAAACAAACACCATTTTTCACAACTTAGCCACATCCAATTGTTGAGAGAGTTAATTTCTTTAACTTTCAAAATATGGCCAAGTTTGGTGCATCCTCAATTGCCCTTGTTCTCACATTGAACATTCTTTTCTTCACTATGGTTAGTTCCACTTATGTCCCATGTCCACCACCCCCACACCACAAATCACACCCCAAACCCCACCCTACCCCTACCCCCTCCACTCCCTCCACCCCCTCTACCCCCTCCACTCCCTCCACCCCCTCCACTCCCTCCACCCCCTCTACCCCCTCCACTCCCTCCACCCCCTCTACCCCCTCCACCCCATCATCAAAGGGAAAGTGCCCAAAGGACACACTAAAGCTAAATGCTTGTGCCAATTTGCTAAATGACTTAGTGCACCTTGTTATTGGAAGTAGCCCAGCCAAGACTAAATGTTGCTCTTTAATTCATGGACTTGCTGATCTTGATGCTGCTGTTTGTCTTTGCACTGCCCTTAAAGCTAATGTGTTGGGAATTAATCTAAATGTTCCACTTTCCCTCAGCTTGTTACTCAACAATTGTGGCAAATATGTCCCTAAGGACTTCCAATGTGCATAATTTATTATGCTATAGCCAAATTTCTCCACTTTGCAAAAAAATGTCCACTCTCATATATAGTGTATTTTGTTTCTTTTTGTTTGAGTGTGTGTGTTTGGTGTTTTGTATGCTTATATGTAGTTGTTTATTTTCAAAGGAGTTACTATATGTAGTTTATTTTGATTGGTTAGAAGGAAGTCAATAGTTGTTGGCTTTCTTTTTGTTGTATGATTCCATTTTAATCATGAGTGATAAATGAAATATATTTGTGTGAGTTTATATATATGATGTAGGCATTTTTTATATTTAAGTTTAAGTTATACATTGATAATATAAAAATATTTATAATATCAATTTATCATGTCACGCATTATATATTTTTACTGTAAAAAGTGAGATATATAATTTTGAAAATAAGATAAATTACATATATTATAACAGATAAAAATAATTAGATAGTGTAAACTATTCATTATTTACACCATTGATGTATGTTAGTTAAACTCTTGATATGACAAAGACATGAATTAATCAATAAATCAAGTAGCCATTTATAAAGCTCGAGTCAAAATTATTAAACTCTCTCAAAATCATAACTACTATGGGGAGCTCACTTATTTTTAAAAAAAAATGAAGGTTGAAGGAGGAGATTACGAGATAGAAAATCAATTTTTTATTAAATACCAAACAATCGAACTACTAAAATTTCTCCGAAAGTTCCTCCGCATGACAAAAAGAATTAATTTGAAAAGCAAGTCGTACGGAGGGATTTGGACTAATTACCTTGCCAAATAAAACTTGGGAAAAAAAGGATAGATACGTCCTCAATTTTCTCTTTATAATATAATGTTCTAGTTCCAAACTTGCATATATATTACAAAGCAAAAACAGCTCAAAATTCAAGATTAATTACATAATGAATATTATTTACTAATCCAATTAATTTAAATTTGTATCAAAAAGATCCTCTATTATGGGTACTAAAGTGTTCTCTATCAATGACAAAACTTATTCATAGGAAAATTGTATGTATAGGTTTTCTTTTAATGTGTTTTTCACATATATCTTGTTTGAATTCATTTTATGTAAAAGTAAATTATTAGAAAATAGTATTTCTGAAATATCTAATTAAGAATAAACATATTTCAATCATTTCACTACAACATGCGCGATAAAGCACACTTGCTTATTCATTTAATTTCCTGAAAACTTTCCTCTAATTCTTTTCTTTAGCACTTAAGTCTGTTGCCAGGAAGTCATTAACTTTCCTCAACCTGTTTTGTTTCTTAATTATCATTACAATATTATAACATCGTTCGATTTTTTCCAGATCTCAAAATATCTTATGAATATAATTATTATTTTTTTTAAAAAATCATAGTGAATATCCTGTGAATTGTTTAGATAAGAAATTATAAAAATATACCCCATACATGTTCAATTTATCTCAATCTTTTGCAGAAATGACACATGGCTGGTAAAGGAAATTAAACCACAATTTTAAGGAAGTTCTAGATTTAACCACACTACACAAATGTTTATTAACATAGGGTATATATAGGACCACAATTTAGTATTGTGAAACTTTTGTCGATCTATAACGTTACATGACAATTTTAATTAATGCCCTATAACATATAATAGTGGTAAGGGGCTAGGAGTAGGAGAAGGAATTTAACTATTGGTTATGGAAGGGAATAAAATTTATATATATCGTAGTGTAAAGATTTTTTATATTATCATATTACTTTTACTTATTATAACAATTTTTTGTTTTGTTTTCAATAACCTAAATTCCACACAATTTTTAGGAGACTTATATATAAATATCTTTATACGAGTTAATAACTCTTTTGGTCCCTCAATTATTGATAAATTCTAATTTAGTCTTGTGATATTTGATTAAGCACTCTTAAATTTTGATTGAGTAAAATGTGCACTTTTGATCTTTTTGTTTGTGAATATTCACAAATTTATCATAATTATGAACTATTTCACCACTTAATTGCTCATGCATATGTTAGGTTAGGTTTGTACTATAAAACTTTATAAATGATGGTAATATAACTCTAATAAAAAATATTTAAATATGCATATTTCCTTCAATAAGGGACTAAAGCATACATTTTAATTTAACTGAAGATTAAATATATTAAATCATATATCACAATAATTAAAATTAAGGGTTCAAAAATATTATAATTGATCCTTTTTACAAAAACATTGTATATAACTTAAATTCAGACGAAATTAGAGGGACATGATGCAGCTGATTGCTGAGAAATAGACTAATTAAGTGAAGTTTTGAAAGTTTAATTAGATGCCAAAAAATTAAGAACACAAAAACAAATTCTTGATGACAAAAAGTCCATAAATGATGCCTCAAGCTTGTCGATTGATTAGGTTCACATGTTAAGTTTTGTCGATGATTAAATTATTTATGTATAGTAGTATCTTACTTTTTAAATAAACGCCAACAAAAACAGCCAAATTATCAAATTACTATGTTTATTTCAGCTGAGTACAGTATTTAGGTCGGCCAACAACAATTACAATAACAATATATTTAGTGTGATTTTATGAATGAGCCTTAAAAAATATGTATAAGTAGATCTTATTCCTATCTTGAAAAATTATTTCCGAAAGATAATCAGGTAGGATGATAAAAAGTTTTTAACAATACAGTATAAGATAATGAAATTATCCGACTCTAGGTATATAAACGAAAACATGTTAATTTGATACGATTAAGTGATTATCTAAGGTTAAAAAAAAAAGGAGGTTTATGTTCAAAGCCTTGTAATTATACACTACAATTTTTTTCGGAAATAGTTGCTATGAAATTCGTTGTTAATTTATGATTAATTGCTAGTAGCTAACATAATTTCTGATAATCAATAGCTAAGTAATCTTAGTGATGAATTTTATTATTTAACTACTGAATTCGTCGGTCGCTTTTCAGTATAATATAGTGGCTCATAATTTACCTTCGTCGTTTTTAGTAAAGTTACGTCCACTAGTTAGTTAACGGATGTTAGTACTTTTCAGCACAAATACTCTATAACCTGCCATTATCAATATCTTTTAGTACTCAATTTCTTTGATTTGAATTTAATGAAGTGAATATACTTATCGAGATAAATCAAAACCAGTTTGAAGTTTGATTATGTAAACAACAAAGAAAAATAAAGTAGTTTCATGATTATCTTCACTTTACTCTTACAATTGAAAGACTTATAAATACATCAAAGATTGATCTCTAGAGTAGGAAGCATTTACAATTAACAAAATTCATGAATAGGTAAAAAAAATAAAATTGATATTGATGTGATCAGTCCTAGCAAGTTTTCATTGTTGTTGTTGTTGTTGTCTATGAGTTGAATGATCGAGGTTGAAGGGTTCATAATGCACGCTAGGACTATCCGGAGTGATTAATGGATCCCCGGATCCCATACCTACATATTGTTGCACCACCAATGCTGATGCTTTCATCGCGAAATCTGATGAAGCTAAGAGATCACCAATGGCACCTAGCTCTGGGCATTCACTCCAATCAGTTAGCCCTGCTGTTAACGGGGAGCTTGTCCCTTGTCCTCTACCCACTATGAACAAGTCGTGTGAGTTATCTATTGACCTTATTGCTCCTACTGTCTCTTCTCCATGATTCACTATTCTTTCAATGTATACTATTGATCCATCATTTCCTGTTTTTGTCCTGAATTCTGTTACATATTCCTCATCTAACTGTTTTTCCCTATCGCGTTCTGTTTCAACTGTTAGTACACTATAGTCATTCCCACTGTTTGATTTTCTTGCTTCAATTGTTGTATCTCCAGGGAGGAAACGCATAACTGTTAGGTTAATGTTCGGGTGTTCACTCATTCTCCAAGCATAAGCTAATGCTTCGCGATCATCTGGTCCTCCAAAGAATAACACTGCAACATGGTGTGAAATTTGGTTCATTGTTGACCTTGTTGATCCTGTTAACCCTCTATCTACTAGTATCCCAACGGAGCAAGGTGCATTTGCTAATACATTCTGGTTAATTGTTCGGAATGATGAGTTTGTAGTTTCTAGTCCACCATCAACTGTTTGTTGCTTGTGGAAAGGGATTATGATTAGTGCTACGCGTTTTTCCTCAGCTAAAACGCATATGTCTTCATGCATAGTGGAGTAAGGGGAGATAGCAGTGAGAGGCTGCACGTAGACGCATCCTGCACTTTTCTCAAAGTTCTCAAATGCATTGATGATATGATCAGATTGAGCTTGAGTCCTGTTCATAGCTGGCCTTCCTATTTTACGCATGTTATGGACAATAAGCATTCCAGATGCACGTCCAGTGAGTTCTACAAGGTGTAGGACATATATACATATCGGTGATTTCTTCGTAGGACATGATGCTTCAAGAAGACTTATAATTGTTGGAACAGCTTTAGGTGTGTGGATGCTAACGAGCACTCGAAATTCCCTATCCAACTTTGTTTTCTGAACTGTTCTTCTCTTATATGGGGTGAAATTTCTTGATGGTTTATAGACAATTGTCACAATAGGAGTGATGACTGCAGTCATCCCAATTGCTACAATCACCATTATAGCAAAAGATTTCTCATCAAGAACCTGCATTTACATGTAAGTATTTAGTACTCATTTTTGTGTTGATAACAAATAAATGAAAGTACACATCAACTTTTGAAGTTTGTGTTCTGGGACGGACTAAAAAGGAAAGTGTGTCACGTAAACTGAGACAGAGAGAGGTATATGTTGATTACCTTTTGGTCTTTACCAACATTGAGAACAATAATCTCAACAAGGCCTTTTGCATTCATGAGAAGACCAAGAGAAAGGCCTTCATGAAATGGCATTTTGTAATATAGTGTTACAATGACAACACCTATAACTTTACCAGCACAAGCCAAGATTATAACAACACACAAAACTCCCCATGTTGCAGCACTATCAATAGCAGAAATCTCTGTTTTGAGACCACTAATGGCGAAAAAAAGAGGTAACAAAAGCCCCGATACGAAGTCTTCTAGCCTTTCTATAAGTGTTAAACCAAGAGGACCACTAGGTATGATCAAACCAAACACAAAAGCACCAAAAACAGAATGTGTTCCAATAACATCAGTTATGAATCCAGATATCATAACTCCTGTTAGAATGAGACATATATTGAACTCACTAATCGATTCGCCTTCTGGAGTCTGACTTATTCTCCTTCCAATCAATGGCCTAATGACGAAAAAACAAACACAAATGAATGCAATACTTGATAGGATCACCCAAAGAGTAGCCAAACTCATGTCTTTATTCTCAGTAAAGGCGATTGCAAAAGCTAACACAATCCATGCTAACATATCATTAATAAGTGAAGCAGACATCGCGATTCTCCCAATTTCAGAGTTGATAAGTTTGAGCTCCGCGAGGATTCTAGCAAGAACAGGAAATGAAGTAACAGAAAGCGCGAGGCCAAGGAAGAGAATGAAAGTTCCTTCTTTTGTGTTTTGTGATTTATCATGCAATAAGACGGAAAATGAACTTCCTATTATACATGGCAATATCATCCCTGCCATTGCTATAAGCAACGATTTTTTACTATTTCGACGAAGAACAGCAATGTCCATTTCTACTCCTATTAGAAAGAGGAAGTAAAGAAGACCAATATTTGCCATTGTTTCAAGTACCATAACACTTCTTTGAGGAAATATTGTATTAGCAAATGTGCTACTTCTTCCCAATACTGATGGACCCAAAATTACACCACCCTGCCATCATTTTTTGCACAAGATTAGTGTATGAGCATAGTATATAATAACAACAATTATGCTATTCAATTCCTTCCATACAAATTACGAGTTCAATCCATTATGTTTAGCAACTCATTTATATCAATATGATCATTCAATATCCATCCGGTCTAGTACAAATTAAGACGATTCATTATAAGTTTAATTCATCATGTTTAGCAGAAAGACGATTCATTTATATTGATATGATCATTCAATCCATTCGGTCTGGCACAAAAGACGATTCATTAATATCGATATGATCATTAATTATCTTTATTATTATATGCAGTTTTACATTCTACATGAGGTTTTCTCTAATACTTGAATTCATGACCTCTGGTCACACGACAATAATTTGTATTGTTACACCAAGGTGTTCCACTTATTAACCAATGTACATTGACAAATAATGAAAAATTGAAAGTGCGATCATATAATTAAATTTTAGAAGAATCGTAATAAATCACTTACAAGAATCTCAGCAATAACACGAGGTTGACGAATAGGTTTCAAGATAAAAACTAGTAGTCGAGTGATGACAACCACCAATGTCAATTGCACAATAAAGAGTGGCAATGAATAATCAAGTGGATTATCACCTTGCCATATTCCACTCGTAGTTATCATCGTTGGTGCGTAACATACTATCGAATCATAGATTTTATCCTCCGCGTTCGCTATTATTATCTCTTCCGCCATACTGATCAAACGTGACCCAAAAATTATCGTACTTAATTAGGTTTTAGGTTCAAATCACACGTATGATATTTTTATAGCTTTTTGAATTCTCTTATTAGAATTTCTAGCTCTGCTACTACGTCAACATTAATGAATGCCATGCATGCATGTTTTCGAGTGAAGCTCAACAAGAAAGAGAAAAGTGATAAAACAGAAAATTGTTTAGGATAAATTTTTGAGGGAAAGAGTGTTGAGATTTTTTCTTATTTTCTTGGATTTGTTAAGCTAAGAAAGTAAACTTAAAAATATAGTAACTACAAAAATGGGAACAGTAGCAAATGTAAACCACAGAAATGCTTGAAAGTAGCAGGATTGTTGAAAGTGAGACAACATTTTGTGACTCCAAAAATGAAAAAAACTGTAATTTGGACTAATTAGGGAATAATTTAAATAAACCCAAATCTAATTAAAAAATATTATTTTAAGAATTTATGCTCTAAATAAATTATCATCCAATACAAAGAACTTATAATTAATCCTAAGTTATAAGTCTAATTCAAACAGATCAGTCTTCCTCCAAAATTAGAGATTAGCTAAATGTTACATTTATTCATATGCAAACAACTATTCGTTTTGAATCAAGACCGCATAATTTTTCGGAAAAAAACTTACACCATTAAAAACATTAATTAATTCTTACACATTATATATAACTTTCTTTATTTAGCTACTAATATGAGACTTTTGTTTAGACCCAACATGATATTGTCCAACAAGATATAATTAAGTCATTATTTCTTTTATCCATAATTCTCAATTAATTAACAGTTCAAAACGAAGAATATGGTGGGTTAAGACGATCAGAGGCGGAGCTAGGTGGGGGTTCGTGGATTCTGTATTTTTACTAGAAATTAAATATATATATATATATATATATATTTATATATATATATATATATATATATATATATATATATATATATATATATATTATGTATATTAACTTATCGACCCGGTTCAGTGATAAAGAAGTGATTGTAAAACGCTCAAACTCTTAATCCTAAGTTCGACTCTGATGACGATATCTATGTTGATGGTTATTAATTATCAGACGATAGGATATAAATTAATAGTACCTTCTATACATCTTTTAATCAATTATATAAAAAGAGATGAAGGACCATTTTCAACTAAATAGATGACAACTTTCCAAATTGGAAAAACATATTCCTGTAATGGATCAAGAGATTATGTTTTGCTGATCTTTTCCTTTATTGAAGATTGAGCTTATCCATCTTTCTTTTGAGATGTAAGCTTCCTCTCACTATTAAAGATTTTTTCCGAATCAGTAAGAAATTTGTGCTATAAAATATAATTTTCTCCTCATTTTTCATCGAACCAACTGACTAAGAATCAAATAACAATGAATTAATGTCTTCAAACTTAAAATGTATACAAACTAACAAATATATGTAATGTTTATTAAATATAAAAGTCAATAGATGGAGTGGTAATAATTATCATTAATTATTTTTTTCATACTTATTTGTCTTTGGTGTAATGGCCAAAATAAAAGTTTCTTTGTTTGGTCCCTTTGCCAGTCTGAAACCTCGAAGTGAAAGAAATCAAAACAAGGTTCACATGATGCCTTGGTGCAAGGGCGGAGTTACCGACTATAATTTACGGATTTAGTTGAATTCAGTATTTGTGATTTAAATTTTTTATTTATTTTAAAAAAATCATTAAATATATATAAATTATTAAATTAGAACTCAATAACTTAAAATAACTAGAATCTCAGGTGATAAAATTAAAATTCCCTCTCTGTTATTTACTCTTTGTTATTTATATGTTTATATATTTTGCCAGCAAGCTAGCTATAAGACAATTCAATAAAAGTTTCAATCAGTCTGAGATTTTATGCTAATACTTTATATTAGGGGGAGAAAATCTTGCATGATAAAAAAGAAGATTGACTTTTTTTTTGTTTTCCTATCACATGTTAGATAATTATATTGAAATGTATAAGGATCCAATTAAATTTGAATTGAACATGATTATAAAGCTATTATTAGGGCTACACTTTCATAAATATATTTTTCATTTTCAGGACTCAAATTTAAGATCATCACAATCCATGAATCGACCGGTAAAGAAGATCAAATTTTCCCTTTCAGACTTAGCATATGAAGGGATTCAACGTATAAATAGATTAGGATAAACTTCAAAACACAATATGTAACATCAAACGACAAGGGGTACTAAAAGGTTATCTCTAAATTATTATTTTTATCCATCACACTAAACGATCCCGTATAAGTAAAGTGCCTTAAAATGTGTGCAAAATGGACACTGTGTGAAATAGTACTTAAACAAAAAAGACTATTCACGGACTATATAATCAGAACTCACGGATTGGATATTGAAGTTTGCAAACAAAGATAAAGTTTCCAATTTCAATTTTACAATACACCTAATCACTTTGGCATTCCTTCACATACGTGTTGCTCTCTCATGGAATTAATTCCTTCACGGGTTACACATACAATACATCTATAAAATCTGTAGTCTATGTCAAAATTCAACAACATAACATTAAAAAAAAATGGAATAAAGAGTTGAACAATAATTTTTTGGTATTATAAAAAAGAAAATAGCTATGGGTTCATCAAAGATTTCAGCAATGTTGTTCATTTGTATGATTTTCATGTCAATGTGCTTGTTACCACCAGCTTATGCTTCATATGGTCAATGCCCATGTACTCCTCCTTATCAACGACCTAGTCCACCTGGAGGTGCTCCGCACCCGCCACATCATCACCCTCATCCACCTAAGTCTCCCAGTAGGCCCCGCCCTCCACCATCGACTCCACGTCCACACCCACCGACCACCAAACCGCCACCTCATCATGGTGGACCACCTCCTAGGGTTTTGCCACCTATCGTCTTTCCGCCACCTGTCATATCACCTCCAATCACTCGCCCGCCACCTGGCATTTTACCGCCTATTGTCAATCCACCTGGCATTATTCCGCCAATCACACGGCCACCTGGCATTATTCCACCAATCATAAACCCTCCCGGTAATTTCCCACCAATAACAAATCCTCCTGGAGGTGGAGGAGGATTCCCGCCACCATCTGGTGGTGGTGGTGGCGGATATCCTCCTTACACACCTCCTGGTGGAGGTGCACCACCTGGCGGAGGCGGAGGTGGAGGCATACCAGGTATTGTTCCACCTCCACCCGCCACGTGTCCTATAGATGCATTGAAACTTGGGCTTTGTCTTGATGTACTTGGAGGATTAGTGCATATTGGGATAGGAAATCCAGTGGAACATATATGTTGCCCAGTATTACAAGGATTGCTAGAGCTAGAAGCTGCTATTTGTCTATGCACAACTATAAGGCTTAAACTTCTAAACCTTAATATTTTCCTTCCTCTTGCACTTTCAGTTCTTGCAACATGTGGTTTAACTCCTCCTCCTGGTTTTGTTTGTCCTCCTCTTGTTTGAATTACTAGGTTTTTTTAAATTATGTTTGGTCTTTTGTTTGTAATATTTTGTAAGGTACGTAAGAGCTAAAATGCAAATAATTATGAGTTCTTAAGTCTTGTTTTTTTTTTTTTTTTTTAATTTGTGTCTTTGTTATGTTTGGTACTTTAATTTGCTCCCACAAAATTTGATTCGAGAAATTAACTTGATAATAATATTGGCGTGGGTTCTTATGTTAAATTCTCTAAACTTCAATTAGTATCTTTCTTAACTCGATCACATAAAAAAAAGTTGTTAGATTTTTTTTTCCATAGCTAATCAGAGCGATAAACAGCTGAATCTAGTAAAGTATAGTAGCAAGACCATATTTAAATTGTATACTAAAAGTTGTTGGATACGTAAGTTTCGCTTTGAGTGAACTACAATATTTGCAAATTTTTTTGGTAGTTTTTCACGTTTTGAACTAGAAAAACATTGCAAACAAACAAAGTTGCAAAAATTGAAATTCATCATTTTTCCAGCAAAAACCTAATATATGTCAATTAGATGTCGTTTGGTGCAGGCTAAGGTCGGATATCCTAAAATTACGCATGAGATAAAATTTATATTGGATTTGGTTGACGCTTAACGGTATAAATTTATACTATACGCAATTTAAATTTAATCTGATCTACTTAATCATAGAAAAATATATCATCCTATACGATTCAACTTTAAAATATTTTTCCCGTCTCCTAAATGGTATAAATTAGTCTTAATAGTAATAATCTCAGAATAATTTAGTCAACGTAGAAGGACCCCATACTATATAGTCGTAATTTTAGCCTTCAAGTGGCCAAATTGTCGAACCGCGTAACAAGAAAGTAAAACAAAGGGAAAGACGAAAAAGAATGTTGGACGTCAAGATCAATTACTAAGTCTAAAGATTAATATCCACCTATAATTTGTATTTGTACTATATATATATATATAGGAATAATGCATGAACTATACTTGTGGCTAATTATAGTTCTACTAAAGCACATTGGTCCCATTTATGAAAATATCACTTTCTTAGGTCTACTCTCCCCACCCAAAAAATAAAAATAAAAAAAAGGAAAAACTGAAATGACTTGAATGGACATAAAAGCATGAGTCTTTGTCAAATTAAAACCATGCATAACGACTTGTTTAACCCGTCATTAGTGGCAGAATCAAGATTTATACTAAAAAATTCAAGATATACAAAAAAAAATTTATAAAAAAGTCGAAGGAGCTTCAGTCTCTACTATATATATACATAAAATATATTATTTATCATGCATAAATGATGGAGTATAATCTTTCATTGAAGGCCAAACTTCCTAGGTCCTATCTAATCATAGCGCGTAGTGTACTAATAAATAGGAAAAACAAATTAAGATTACTAATGACATAGGGGAGTTAAGATGAATATATATATAGGTTTGAAAATTACATTGGAAGATAATTTTGGGCATATCATATTTTTAAAAGTAAAAGATTTGACTAGTTTGGGTTGCACATAGACTCATAAAAGAACTTACCAAAACATGAAAAGTTTTTGAGTTTTTAAATTCATTTGTCAGATATATATAGTCAATAATAATATAATAAAAGAAAGCTTTTATTATTGTTTTTTTTAAAATCTTTTTTAGTTTAGTTTTGGTAATTATTTTTTTAAATAGCAAATAAATAAAAAATAACCACAAGTTATGTGCCGATCGAATTATGATTCATTATTTAACTCAAATTATAAGACAAATTTTTGAGCGAGTTATTTTTCAAACATGTTCATTTTTTAATTCAATCTAGTCTATCATAGGTAGTAAAAACTGTAGAAAAACTATGACTCCAAATTTTGAAGGGAGGAAGTGGAAGAAAGAACATAGCTCAATTTAAATAGAAAAAAATAACCTTGTAAATATCATTTATATGTTATTTTAAGATCTTTTAGGTGTAAAAATATATCTTATACAACATATATAAAATAAAATAAAAATTATAAAGGACAACCAAAAAATAATCCTTTCATGGTAAAATGTCAATGAGAATAAGACACTGATTATTATCTAATCATTCTCGGAAAACATCGGACATTTACTATTTTTTTCGTTCACTTTTATTTATCTATTATTTTAAAAATAAATTTTTATTTTTCATTGTCATTTTTAACATATCAAGAGAAAATAATTTTTAAAAATTCATATTTATCCTTAACATTAATTACTTATTATCTAAATCTTTTTTTAAAATCTAATACTAAAATAATTAAAATACTCTTATATCAATCATTATTCTTAAAAACATGCAAAGTCTAAAATAGACAAATAAAAATTAACTGAGAAAGTACAAAATCTAGGTTAATTTACGTACGGTACGGTAGACTTTATTGTTGTTTTGTTGAAATCTAGGATGTAGTCATGAAATCTCTTGCTAGAACGTACAAATCTCCAATAGAGGTGGATCCAAGATAAATTATTTATACGTATTAAGTGAATATTTTTAAATATGTAAATTAAAATTATATTATTGAGTTCTACTAAATATGTTAGCTAGCTAGCTTTGTTTATTATTATGCTCATTGAAGTTGGATCTACCTTCTGCTTATTTTAGAGTAATTAAGCACTTAAAATTTGTGTTTTTCAGTCATCTTGTAATGACCCGGAAAGTCATTAGTGGAAATTTTGAATATCCATTTAACTAGAGTCAACTAATTGATGGTTAATTATTAAATAACTAATTTTAGTTAATGCTTAATGGGTTAAGTTTATAATTAGTTTAATATAGCTTGACCCATATAGGAAAATAATTTTTAGGGTTGAGAATTATTGGGTCATAATTTAGAAAAGAAAAGAAAGAGAAGGCAGCACTCACCTGTGCGGACGCGGCGTGAATACGGAAAGGGCAAGTTGTTCCTCTCCTCTCCTGTAAGTCGATTTCAAGTTATCCTTGCAAATTTGCATATAACTGCATTAAATGCTCTTTCATATGCCAACATTAATTGCACCTATATATATATATATATATATATATATATATATATATATATATATATAGTTGACCGAATTGATGCTAATTGGTTTTGGAGTTTGGTGAAGGCAATCAACATTTATTATTATTATATTAGTATAATAGTAAGGAATTGAAGGTTGTGAAGTCATAATATTATATTAGTATAATAGTTCTTGGTGACTTTGAGAATTTAGGGGACAAGAAACAGTGGAACATTACAACGTAACGATGACATTAAGCGAAATTCATTTAAGGGTATTAAATTATTGATATGCCGTCAATTGCCATTTTGGGATGATTATTGGACAATTAATCACTGGGAAAACTAAAGTGATAAAAAGGAGGCGTGTGTGTAATTTCTGCATAATTGTTACTATTTTGGTGGGTTGTATCCATGTTGGTAATATATTTATATGATGATCTAGTTCTCGATTTATGATATAGGAGAAGTTGAAACTTAATTCTAAGCTTGAAACTTGGAAAAATAGGAGGGTTGACATGTTAATTGGCATCGAACTTAGGAATTTGATTATAAATTTGAGTGAGTTCTGTGTCTAGACTAGACACATAGTAATATGAGTGTTGTTAGTTTTGAAATCTTATATCATTATTTATTTGAATAGATTTTATGGATTTGAAAGCTCAACAAAAGGGGAAGACTCAAGTCCCGAAGTGATTGTTGATTAATTGAGGCAAGTGGATTTCTAAACCCTTGTTAAGTGTATGGAATTCATGTATTTTCTTGTAATATGTGTTTAGGGTAATGAGGCTTGGTGATGGGTTGACTTGTCCACATTGATTAATTCTAATGATGAAAAAGGGATAATAAAAGGCAATGTGATCAATTGTTTGTGTGATGTGTTGGGAATTGTTTGAAAGGCTTGTTAAATCATTGTTGATGTTGTATCTTGATTGTCTTGTTGTGAATTGTGCAATGTTATGAAAATGGTCATCTCCTCATTATTTGTGTGAACATGTCATTTGCATTGTTCTGAGACATGGTTCTGACAAGTGTTATGTGCATTGAGAAAGAATAAGAAAATAAAGAGGATGTACCATTTCGAGGGACGTATCGCGCGCCGCGATGGATACTATATAATTCGAGGGATGTGTCGCGCGCCGCGGCGGATACTATATTTCGAGGGACGTATCGCGCGCCGCGATGGTTACTATTATTGAGGGTCGTATCGCACGCCGCGATGGATGCATGGACAGATATGTCCCCCATGGGTCCCGGACTGAGAGACAGCGGGTGTGTATCATTAGGTCAGACATGCATCACTATACTTGACATTGCATTTCATTGCATTGCACTTCTTTATTATTGGTGAACTTGATCTTGTGTGTTGCTGATCTTGTGAGTGCCTTTCTATGGAACTTGTGACTGATGAATTATTGAGCTTGTTGTTGAAGATATGAAATTGTTAGAGTGTTGTGTTGAACTATGTGCTTTGTAAACTTTGAACTGTTAGGTTGGGCTGGTTTTATACAGATTGTAGTTGTGAAGGTTCGGTTGGGGTGTAAGGAGTACTTGTATTCTATCCCCTTAGCTCGTGTTTAGAGGTTTACTTGTTGAGTACCGTGTGGTTTGGTACTCACCCTTTGCTTCTACAAATTTTTGTAGGTTATGAGCCTGGATTTTTGTGGTACTTGTTATTCTCTTCTTTTTCGAGGCTTCTGGGAGATTTGTAAGGCAGTTGTTTGTCTTCTCAGCGATCCTTCTTACTCCTGTTTATGATCTTGTTCTACTCTAGAAACAATGTCATATGAGACTTGTATTTTCCTTTTGATTCAATTGTAATACTTTAGAGGCTTGTGCACGTGACAACCAGATTTTGGGGTATTTTTAAGTTAATTATGAAATTTCCGCATTTTATTGTAATGGGTGAGTGTTAGGCTGACTTGTCTTGGTGGGATAAGACGAGTGCCATCACGTCCATTTTTGGGTCGTGACACATCTCAATAAATTAATTATAGTTAATAGAGGTGACAATGTTGTTTATACATTATTAATAACTCCCATTAGAAATATGAATAGAGCATTAAATAACTATGACAATACACTTTT